TGTTTAAAAATTCTCTCTTTAGTGTTTGTGATGGTTTTTTCACATCAAAGAAATTATTATAACCTAGTTATATTTCCTACAATTTGCTCACACTTTTGAGACACCTCATACGGCAGAGGAAATTATCTTATTACTCTATATTACATTGCAGCCAAAATTCAGTTGAGCATCCCACAACACTAATGATATTCATTATGGCCACTAGTAAATATTTTCTAGCATGTAAACATGATAAATACTGAGCTATAATGTTTAAAGTTACGCTAAATTTTGGAGAATTTTTTTATCTTATAGGAAAAATTTATATTGTGTAGTTCTGCTTATAATTTGTCACTACATAAAACAATGCAATCATGATTTTATGTGAAGGAAAATAGACACATATTATTAGCATTGAAAATATATAGTTAAAAACTTACACTATAGGTTTATGTTGGTTGTGATTGCTTTGGTATGACTATAGTGGTTCCTTTTCAGTTCTTTATTTATTTTCTAAAATTTTCTAATGATCTTATAATACATTTATGTTAAGAATAAACTTAAGGAGAATGCTTTATATTTCTAAATAACTATAAATTCAGAGATATCACAGAATAACATAAATCAGTTATATTTTACAGCGAAGAATTCTAAATATATAAAACCAACATGTAAAGAAAGTATTATCCAAATAAGCTGAGAAGAGGGCAATAGGAGAATAGATTCTATACCTCTCAGAACAAAATAAAATTCAAATGATCATTTTATCTTATTAGGTGAGATAACGACTTTGGAAACAGATACCAAAAGCTAGGTAAAGAAAAACTTACATGACAACAAACATCAACAGGTAGTTACTCAGTAACACTGCCCTTCTCCACAAAGATCTACTAATGAATTACCATGTAATTCCTCTAAAGTCCCATCAAGTATTTAAGTCTTATTAAAAACTTATAATATTTCAAAATACTTCCAGTGACCTTTTCCAGGCAATTTAAACATGTTATCCTACAATCTGTGGATGTAAATGTTTTAAATTTATTAATAATAAGAAACTGATAGCAGTACTACTTATTAGCACTTACAAAATAATTGTATTCTCATTGGTGAAATCACCTTAGTGAGAACCTAAGACTTACAAGTCTGTATTAATCATGTATATTCTTACTTGGATTGAGACAAATCTCTGTGTTTTGCATTGGATTCTCAAGCAAGAAATTTCCAAAGTTCTGTTACATATTTTAAGGAACACCTCAAAAACAATGAAATGTGACAAAACTCATAGATATAATACTTATATATTTTTCCTAATTTTTTAAAAATAAAATATCACTGAACTCTATCAATGTTTCACAATCAACATGGGTCAGAATGCATATATTCACTTTTATACCATAAAAATATGATTATTTAATTCACAAGTTAACATTAGAAAATGAAATGAAGACTGTCATTTTAAACCACCAATGGTCACATACCATCCTCAAAAAGAAGAATCTCACTGCATTTATCAATATGTCTGAGGATATTGAAAGAACTGTACCCAGGCCTGTGTTTCTTTTTGAGGAGTTGGTGACAAGAAAGTTTGTTTGTATTATTGCCAACAGATTTTAAATAGAACTACATAACTATAAATGTACAGCTCTATGTAGAAACACACACACATGTATGTTCCATATTTCATAGCACTGAATTGTTCTGATATGCAGTTCTTTGCAGTCAATACTTTTAAGAGAAAAAAATCCCAGGTGCCTTGGCATGAATTTTTAAACATTATTTTAAAGAAACTAAAATCATTTATTTCCACAAATGTATACTATTAAAAACATGTTTCAGAACACTTTCAAAAAAATCCAATGACACATGTACTTCTGAAAACTCCAAAAAACAAACAAATAAAAACTATGTCATATATTTAAAAAATTTGATTAGATATTGGTCCAGTTGAACATATAAAAGTCCTAATTATCTATATGCTGCATATCCTTTCATAACAAGAAAGTATATAGACATAATAGAAAAATCTATCTTAAAATTGTAAATAAAGGCTGGTATATTTTTTAAAATGCTCATACAATTAAAAATGGCATCTACAATAATAAAAATTTTATAAAGTGGTTCTGAATTGCAGCCTGATTCTATAAGGGATGCTCACATAATACCTATACATATCATTTACAATCGTCTAATTGTTACTTGTAGTTGCTGAGCTAAAATCAGTAGGATTTCTGCCTTCTTCAAAACAATTATTTATACAATTTATGTAAATCCCAATATAAGATAGAAATTCTTTTAACTAGGCATCATTTAATACTGTCCTTTTGTATATACATGATACATAACAGAAGATATGTATATAACAGAAGAGATGTATCAAATATTAAAAATCAATGTTTATAATCTAGAAATGTTAGCTATATGTAAAAAAACTTTAGCAGTAATATATGTCTTAATTCAGTGGATAGAATGTTTATCAACATATAACCATTAAATAGCTTAAATTTGGATGTCTCATGGTTCTAAACATTAACACTGCTTAATAAAATATCTAATATTTGAATATTTTAAAAGGTAAACACAGAAAACCAACTTATAACGAGGTGTGTTCAAACAAAGAAAAAGAGGTTATTTTCTTCATTCATCTATAAAACAAATTTATGAGATCGTAAAGAACAATTTAACAACCAACAGAAGGTTCAAAGAGGGAAGCAAGAGCCAGAGAGAAAATGGATTTGTCAATGATTTTAGTCATTCAATCTTAAAGGGGGAACAAGAAAATGTAGCTTCACTATGCAATATAAAATAGGAGGCATAAAATTCAGTAGCTTGTATGTGGACTCCTATTTATGTATTTAAACCCGTTTGGATTCACAGATTATGCTGATCCTTCCACATGTAAACAGCCAATAATGATAGCCAGGCCTTTAGGAAAGGAAAACACAAGCCACACAGCAAGGTCAGGAAGCTACCAAGCACCACAGGACAACAGATCAAAACAGAATGGTTTCATATGTTTCTATTGTTTATATACTTAATTTGAAGACGATATTCCTTAGGGAGGAAGGGGGGGTATAAATATTACTAGGAACATGCAACATAGTATCAACAAAATATATGCTTTTCAAGCGAATATTGTATTTTCACGCATGTATCTATGTCCGTCAATCTGTAGTATTAACAGCCATTCATTCGATTCTTTTTAACTTAGTTGTCAAGTCAAAATAAACCTCTTTAATCCTAAACCTCTTTATTTCTAACTATGAATTTGAGAATTTATATTAAACTTCTTTTGATGAAACAACCAGGCTTGCAAAAAAGATAAATGTCTTTTTACTATGAAGAGATTAATAGAGAGTAGTAAAGGGGGAAGAGGTATTAATTTATTATTTCCTGGGTAAAATTTTGAAAATGGGAAGCAGTGACATTCTGTTTGCTATTTAAGAATCTTAAAACATTACAACATAAGAAAAGATAGAAATTTACCCCAAGTGGCAGACTAGCACATTTTAAACACACAAGCTAGAGCCGCCTCTAGCCACATGTTTTTCGGAGTTCAGTCTCTTAAAGAGACAGTATCCTTGGATCAATGCCTACACGGAGCACACTTTTAAAATGTTTGATTACTAAGCGTCGTCTTGCATTTCTTCATTCATATCCACACTAGGTCAACAGTGTTCTATTTTATTTTACTGTGAAGTCAAATTATTTTTATCAGAATCTGCAAATAACTAAAGGGCAGGCAGTGATGAAATAATAGAGGGGCTACTGTGAATAGACGCGTCTAAAATATGGGAACCTATACGTGTCTTATAATAGCAGATTGTTTTGCTTTGTTTTTTTAACCTTAAAATGATCATTATTTCTTCATTCATTTTTCCACCCATTCACCAGGCATAGGTGACAGAATATATTTTAACCTACAACACCGGAAGCTGCACAAACGCAATTTCACTGTCGAATGAAGAAGGGAAAATTCTAATAAAGAAAACACGAATCCAAATAGTGAAATTTCAAAGATTTCATTTTGTTTAGGAGGATACCCAGGAAGGGTCCCACACACATACCATAAAAACTGGGTTACCTCGTGATTTTTAAGATTTTGTCTTTCAATATACCAGAGGGCACATTATTGACATTACTACTGATCAGCTCCTCCACGTGGAAAAAGATGAAGAGGGGAAAAAAGTTTTGCTTACTTGGTGTACAAATACATCGACTGGAATATCCAAGGGGCTTCCCTCTCGGTTTATCATGGAGATGAATCCAAATCCCATGCGCACATTGAACCATTTACAGTGGCCAGTTCCATGCAAAACCTGGGATTCCTCCTCTGCCGGTTCCGGCAGCTTCCCGGGCTCTTCTCCACCACCTTTGCTTGCCCCGCCTGAGACGGAACAGGACAAAAAAAAGTCAGTTAGTCTGTATTCCCATGCAGTGTTCATTGAAAGAGAAAAAAATTTGAGGGGGAGAGGGAGGGCAAGAGAAAAAAACATTAATAAATGTTTTGATTCCTCCTTCTACAGAAAACATTTAAAATGAAGAGTTAAAAGGAAAGCGGGGGAGGGGAAACTACACTGTCCTACCGATCACACCAACTTCCACGTTTCTGTACATACGTGTTCTCTTTCATTTAACTCCTTTTTTTAGCCACATATTACAGTACAGCATGCGATACTTTACTTGTATATTGCTGATTTAACACTGATCCCATTTACAAAGAGAAATTTTCAGCAAAACTATTCTCTCCAGCGGGCACCAGGAGGAAAGAGAAATCGTGAACATGGGTAGATCTACTAGTTAATGCACATGCGGCAGCAGCGAATCCAGGGTTATTTGCAATGCGCATTCCCCTCCCCCCATAACTTTCAATTAAAGTTGGGGTGGAATGGGGGAGGGGGCAGGTGTAGAAAAGTTTTCTTGGGCTCACTAACTGAAACTGCGCTTAATCACACACACACAATTCAAACAATAGCCCCCTGAAAGCTTTTCAAGTTGTGAATCAGTGTGGGCGGTACAAAACATTTTTGGAGATCCATAACAATAGCTTTGCAGAAAGCCCCGTAGCGTGATGGGGGGTGGGGAGGCAATGCCCAGTTTTGGGGTAAAAGGGGAAAGGGGGGGACAAGCAAAGAAGAGTGGGAGAGGGGGAGGGGAGAGAGAAAAGAAGAAAGAAAATCACAGTAAAACAATAGAAAAGAAAATTAACCTTCGGCCATGTTGCCCCACCGGCCCTCAGCTCCAAACTCGTGAGATGAAAACTTTCCCTTTGGAACGGAGTGATCTTCAGCATCAATCTAACATCTTGATTTTGCGCGATCACAAATTTAGCTCGCATGGTCTAATGTGCTTTCCTTCTTTTGATTTTTTTCTCTTCTCCAGTTTCTGGCCCCCTGCGCACACGTGACTTTGTCAATTACATGCTTTCTTGCTACTAATTTCACCTCGGATCCTTAAGGGGCTGGCAAGAGGAAGAGATAACCAATCGCCATTTCATCTAGGCTGACATCAAAATAATTTATGAATGAACAAGAAAAACTCAAACATGTTATCTTAAAGACAATTTGGAATGCTTCTTTACAATAAATCAGATAAATGCTGATTTCGTGCTTGTACTTAAACACAATGGAGGTTCCTTGTGAATCGTCGATTTAGAAAAACGGCATATTCATGTATGTGCACACGCGTGCCTTACACACAGCCTGTCTAAATAATCTCACAGGGCGGGGGAGTCATTTAAATAAAGCAACCTATGTTACGTTATTTTTCCCCTCAGTTACTCCATAGAATTCAGCTACTCCATAGAAGTAAACCTGGTTGGGATACTAATTTCATATTTAATTCAATCTTAGAGGAAAATATTTAATTTATAAAAGATCTAATTAATCCTAATTACATCACCATGAAACTTTAAATGATTACATCTACAAAAAGGCAAAAGCACACAATTATCTGATTGTGTCCTGAAAATTTTTCAAGTTTAAAATAAAACCCTAACAGAAAAATCACATGGGGTCGACAAGGTTTATCACTTTGTAACATTTTAGAGGGAGTTGGTAAGGAATTGTACTTCACAGGTTTCTCCGCCATCTCTTTCCGGGGGAGGAGATGTGATTAATGACTTCCTAAATAACAGCCCAGTTTTCCAGCCTAACATAGAGTGAACCTCAATCAGAGGCGATTGTTCCCCTGGAGCAAGACGACGTAGGGCAGAGGGGGAGGGGAACGCCAGGCTGGGGAGGTGAAGAGGAGCCGACAGGAGAGGCGGCAGCAGAGCCAGAGAAAGAGGTGGGGGGGGAAAATCGGGTGTGGGCATGGGTGTGTGGAATAAAGAGAGGCAAGTGAGAGAAAAAGATAAAATCATACCATGTTGACTTGAACTCTGACATTTTAAAAGTCCCCTACCAGTGCGTAGAAAAGTCGAATAAAAGAAAATTTAATAACGGATTAGTCTCCTTACCATCCCTTCCCTGACTGGCCCCCAGTTTCAAAATGCTTACCCTTTACCTTTCAAATAGGTTCAAACGACTGATTGGGAGACGCTGACAACAATATTGCCGCCCGTATGGAATACTACAATAAATATTATAGATCAACTAAAAATGCTTTATTTCCTTTAAAAAATAAAATACCACCCATTTTTAAACATTAAAATGCACCACCAGTCTTTCCCCACCCCACCCCCCATTTTCTTAAACAAGCAGTTTACGGAGAAACTAACTGTTCAGATACCACTTCCCTTCGGCTAAACTACGAAACTGACCCTCCCCCACCATGCCCGCAATCCCCCTCCCCGTCTCTCCAAACATGCCCACACTCTAACACTGCTTCACACAAACTAAAATGCAGGGATTGTGAATCGAAAAGCTACTGAAAAACCCATGTACACCTATTAACACCCTCTACCCATATTAAACAACTAAATATAGTTAAACTTGTTCGTTCAGATCTGAAAGACATGGATGTATATAAAAACAGAAGTTAGTTTCAGCTGTTAGTGAAAAAAGCGTCAATCAAAATTGATCAATTTGGAAAAATTTTTTGTCTGTATATTTCCTTTGTTATTTCTCCGGAAAGAGAGCAAGCTCTCTCATTTTATTTATTTGGGGGGCTGCTAGGGAGAAAAGAAAAGGTGTAAAACTCCACTGATTTTGCAAGTACGACAAAAGCTGGAAGCTCTGAAAAAATTAGTAACAAAACATTTAGAAGGCATTATTTTTGTAGTAGAAATTGATTACTACTATTGCACTGATTAACTTATAAGGAAGTAACTTGAATGATGGCATTACAGGTTAAACATTTCACATAATATGAAATAGAAAAATTTAAAATAAGTTTTTTTATATTTTCAAAATTACCTTAAAAACCAACATTTGTATCAGAGAAAAGTAATCTAAAAAAGTATTTATGTAAATTCAGCTGAAATACTATTGTTTACATAAAAGTAATTAGTATAAAATTCACAGGCCAGTATAGTTTTGTTAAACATTTATGGTAAACAACATTTTGTCTGTAAGTTTGTTTTTAATTAGAAAACAGTTTAATCATTATAAAAATCAGAAACATGTAGGTAGATTCTGAATCCTTGTTTATTGTTAAATTTGATGAAATTCAAACCCATTATAATACGTAGATGGAAAGTGTGAAATACCATAACTGAACCACATTGGATGGTGTAGTTATGAGAGGCACAGTCTTGCCTGATTGGGGCCTCCAGTATTAGTGGAATTAAGGTAGGGTTCACTGGACTGGTCACTGGTGTCAGAGGTTATCACTCGTTCATTTCCTGAGAGGAACATCAGCCTTTCAAGTTGTGTAGAAGGCTTTTTTCCAAAAGCCTTCCTAAAATTCATTCACCAAGTATTTAAGGCAAATGCATTTACCTACCTGGGGGTGGGGGATTAAAAAAAGGGGAAGAGAAGGGGCAAGGAAAGGGTAGAGGGAGAAGGACAAGAAGGGAAGGAAGTTAGAAAGGGAGAGAAGTAAAGGAAGGAGACACACAGAAAATAACCACTCACCAATTCAAGAACATGGCACTGTCTTTTAAACAGATTCATCTTTTCTGTGCCTTCCCTCAAATCTTTTGAGCCTACGATCCTTTTATAAACTGACCATAAGCTCCTAAAGCTCATAGAGTGCTTCTTTCACATAAAACCGTCCTGTGAGTCTCCTAGAATGCTTTCCAATTTGTCACTTTCCTGGTCTTCTGGTTTTAATTTTTTTCTCATTTCCTACTTGTTTTTAGTGCCAGAAAGACCTGTGTTTGACTCAAAACGCATGTTTTATTCCTACGAAAGCCAAATGTTTAATAGCTTGATTTATCATAGTTCTTTCAAAATGTCTTTAAAACGAGTTCAAGTAGCTACAAAAGAATCGTCAACGCACTAGGGAAATAACCTAGCCTGCTGGTTATCACAATCTTAGGTTTCCCCATTTTAAAAAAAGGCTACAAATTTTCTCTGACTTTTTTGCCCAGTAGTACAAGGGACCAAAAGAGGTGCCAGAGCCCACCATTGTTGTTTTCAACTATAAGCAGTGAGTGACTTCTATTAAAGCAGAAACAATGCTTTGGTTCTTCTTAAAACTAGGAGGAGGAGCTGTGGCATAGCTGCGAGCCGACTCCACCCGTCCTCTCCTCCCTGCAAATGAGGCGGGGTCTGCCGCCCAGCGCCACCTTAGCCGCCCTGTGCCTTCCCACACAGCTCGCCCCCAGGGTCGCCAGGACCCCGGGTCAGCAGATCTGCCCTCCACCTCCTGCCTCTGCAACTTCCTCTTACCTTTCTCTCTCAGTCACCTTTTCCTTTATTGATCACATCCACACCTCCTCTCTAGAAGTGGAGCCGTTCCAAAGAAGGTCAGTGATTTCTCACTAATTAAGGGACTTTTACATTTGTCGTCTTGTCCCGAAGAACACCAAACAAAAGAAACCCTTGCCTTCATCACTATGGCAAAAACACTGCGCACAAATTATTTTTACTGAATTTCCTCGCATACGTTATTCATAATTTTATCCCTTTATCTATGAAATGCTAGAATCTCCTAAATTTAAGATAAGTGAGGTCAAGGAAAGAGGGGGAATCAAAACCCAAGAAAATGACCACGACCACCCCACCCCCACCAGGCCATGCCTAAAATGGAGCTGCCTTCAAATAAACCCTGGCGCAGTCCTTTCGGGAAGCCACGATGGCAAACATCGCTGTGCGCCTTTGGAGGATCAAGACAAGACGTCGGCGGGAAGGGGCTGACCGCACGGCCGGGGGCGATTTTCGGGAACCCTCCCTGTCCTCAGCGTGATCTTTCCCGCCTGAAAGCTACTGACCCGCACGTCGGGCAAATTGTTTCGGATTCCTCCCACTGCGTTTCAATAAACTACTGGGCAATAACTTTCTTGACATTCTTTCAACATGAAGTCAAATGAAAGCAGTACCCGACTGGGTGCGTTGGCCTTATGGTAGAGGCACTTCAGAACATGGGGGCATTTTGTTTTTGTTTCCAAAAAGCAAAATTCCGTTTTAATCTCATTTAATTTCCTTATCTGAAGGCAAAATGTTCTGGCTTAACATAATAGTTTCATCGGAATTTTTACAAAACTGTAAAGATCTCCTAGAATTTTCCTTAAATGTCTTAACACATTTCCCCAAGAACAATTAAGTAAAATTATGGACATACAGAAATGGATTAGCATAAATTTTCAGTTTTCCAAACTGCCTTTATATTTCAAAAAGCATGCATTTGCAAATGTGTCCTCCTTTTTGGTTAGTTATGTTTCAGCAAAATATTTAGAGCAACAAAATTAATTCAGAAAAGGGGCATTATTTTAAGACCACAATTTTGTGGAAAGCATCCTTTTTTTAGCTCTTATTTTTTGTCACATAGTAGCTGTAGAAAGTATCTTTTTAAAAAATTAGAATAGCAAAAATTCATATTATATTAACATACTTCTCTCCCAATGAGAAGGAAAAATATTTTATTACCCTCCCAAATATTTTCCAAACTGTGCTCAACAAATACTTTCTTAAATGATTTTAATTAGAATAGTAATAGGTTAGAAAAATCATTAGTAGTACATTTCACGTAACTTTGTCCAGAATAGCACAAAAGGAAGCTTCATGTTTATTTGTAAAATGAAAGTCAGTATTTTTCAACACTGTACTACTTGAACATGTATGTTTCATAATTTAAATATCTGTTGGTAGTAAATATTCTGAGCCTATGAAAAAAACTCTAAGATAAACATACAATTCTTGCTCCCTCCCCAAGCAATGAATACAAGTTTATTCTTTAAAACTTAATCTCTTCAAAAGAAATTATCAACTTAAATGAGAATGTGGATTGTTCCCAGGTATCTATTTCAATATTTACACTTTGGGTTTATTTGGGGGGACAGGACAGGTATATGAGAAATGGAAAGAAGAACA